AGCTCGTTTTACCTTTCCGAAGGTTGGCTTCCAATCCATACTGCTGGCAATAGGAGAGAACCAACGAGCCTAGGCGCTGCGCCTTTCTCAAAAGCCGCTCCGGGCTTCGGTCGGCCAGTGGTAGTGCAGTATCGTCGGCCCATGTAGTGTCACGGGCTCCGTAGGGATCTCCAACTCCAGCTCGGCCGAAAATTCCAGCTGCCTCCTCGAGGTGGTGGTAGCTGAGCAGCTCCTCGCCGTCCGCCAACTCCGCAATCTTGCCAAGCACCCTGGCATACAGGAAGCTGAAGAGGGCGTCTGCCCAACTCTCCCCCGGGCGCGAGCCTGCATATGTTGAGCACAGCCGCGAGCCAGTGCTGTTCATGCTGACAAACCACGTCTTATAGTGGAAGTCAGCAACCGCTGAACATAACGCCGGACTGACTCCAGCGTCTCTCATCGCCCCGCCCTCTTGGATCAACTGCAGTTTCATGCGCATCTTCTCCAGTCAGGCCAAACTTTTTGAGGATGCGGGCGACTGTGAGGTCGCTGCGAATGTCACCACATGAGGCCTCACGGAGGATCCTATAATAGGCAGAGCGGATATCCAAGAAAAGAACAGCCATCGAACATCGCGTACGGTAGCTGTGTCGGATGTGGCTGAGGATGTAGAGGGCACCGAAAGTCACCGGCGCCCCCTTCTTAACACCATAGTGCATGTCGTGGAGGACTCCCTGGATCTGGGTACTCGCCTGATTGCGGATGACCCGATGAAGGGCTTTGCCCATGGTGCTGGAGACAAACAGTGACCTGTGGCTGGCCGGGTCACTGAGCTTTCCAGACTGCTTCCAAGCAGCATAGAGTACGCCCCCTCGCCACTGCAGCGGCTGCTGATGTAAAAGCAGCGACTTCAGAAACAGTGGCTGTATAAGAGCAGCCATCGAGCTCGGAACAGCCGCGAGCAGCTCTGAGGGGAGGTGGTCAAGGCCTGCGGCTTTGCCACGTGGAAGTCGCCGAAGAACTGATTCGATGTCCGTGAGGCTCGGCAGCTCGGCCGCACTCCATTGTGGCCCATCATAGCATCGAAGGTCCTTATCATCAGCTGTGAGAAACTGCTCCACTGTCATGACTTCACCGCATTCCTGGTCACCAAAGTGACGAAGCCACACATCATCACGATCCGCTCGAGAACAGACTTCGCGGCCTTCGGCATCAAGCAGGATGGGCGGGGGGCGAACAACTGACCTGGAGTTCTTTCCACCCACACCTGCGCGCTTGGCCTGTTTGAGGATCTGAGATGGCGCCACATTCCCTTCCGAGACAAGCTTCCGCAGATAGTCCGCCTTGGCTTCGTTGATTCCCCTTTTGATGACTTTAGTAGCGACAGTGATCGCAGCCGCCGACACCTGGT